GTAGAGACATCTGCAGCTGTGTCTGGTGATGGGGGCAGATATCACCAACAGCTGAGGGTGAGGATGGCATGACGGAGAGGCGGGAGACAGCACGAAGACCCCTGGCAAGTTGCTGAACAAAAGACCCTGTTCACTGGCGGCTCTGCCTCTGGATTTCTTGTAACGCTCCTTATTAAGTCACTGTCAATGGTGGCCAAAAGCATCCCGACTGATGCGTTCATCATCGTCCATCTTCCCGGCCCTGGGCCTGCCCATGCTGCGAGACCCCGTTTCTGCACCAGGCTCACCTCACTTACACTCAAGCACTACCTCTTCCTCCTCCCTTCCTCCCTCCTCAGCTGTCCAGAGGTCCTGTTTGGTTCCAGGCAGTCCCTCTTATGTCACTATGCTTGTATCACTGGAGGCGCACAGGCCTGGCTGCCCTCCTGAGGGCCACACCTGCACCTTCTTCCTTTCTGGATGGGCCAGCCATGGACCCCTAGATGGACTGCATGAAATGTCCCCTCTCACCTGCCAAGGGCCCTCAAACAGTTCTCCACGGACATCCCAGGCAATGCCCTCCTTCCCACTTGTGGCTTTTGCCTGATGCCTGCTGGTAGGATGGTGACCGTCAGGGACTCTAGATCAGACACCCTGGCCCTGCCTGGCCTCCCGAGGCTGGGACTTGGATCTAGGTGGCCCCAGATGATCCCCCAGCTCTTGGGAGCGTGGCTAACACCTCCAGAGCCCCTGTTGGTCATAGCCTGCAGCCCTGGGCTAGAGCAGAGTCCAGTCTGGGAGACCAGGTTCAGGTGTCCCATCCAAGGGGACAAGAAGTGGGCAGGGAAAAAGAACCGGATGAGAGGCTGAGGCCAGCTGGAACCCAAAGGAGGGCACGGCAGGCCTTGAGCAGAGCAAAGAGCCATAAGTGATGTTCAAGACAGCAAGGGCCCCAACCCAGAGCCGTGCCACTAAACAGGCTGCAGAGCGGGAGGTGGGGTGGCAGGAGCTGTGGGAAGCCAGGTGGTGGGGGTTTGGGTGCTGAGGGGCAGCCCTGGCTGGATGTGTCACACTGGCCTGGAACCCTGGCTTGTTCTCATTGGTTGCTGGTTAAGGAGTTTGTAGGGAACCGGCCTGGGAAAGTCTCGGGCTAGTGAATGAGTCTGAACTTCCCACACTACTCTCACCCCTGGGTCAAAACCTGAAAAGGCCAGGTCAAAATGCCAGCATGGCCATGGGGGATGGGACTTCTGCCATGAGTGGCCAGTCATATTTCGGTTCTGCTGCTTAGGCCAAGAGGGGGCCAGAGTAGGCGGCCTCTGTGTGGAGAGAAGAAGGAAGGCCGCCACGTGTCCAAGAGGGCAGACCTGTGACAGGGCTGGGAGGGGGCAAGAAACGTGATGTGTGGTCCAAGATCCTGTCCCGGAGTGTTGCTGAAGCTCCGCTGGAAGCACGTGGAGGCTTCGGCTTCGAGGGCGCAGCATGGCCACATGGCTGGGTGCCTGGGCTCCAGAGCCAGGGTGGGGCGGGGGCACAGGCAGAGAGACTGGGAGGGAGCGAGAGAGCTGCTGCGGCGGAGGAAAGTTTCAAAACCCACTTCCACTCTCCCTTCCCCGCAGGGACGCTGTTTAACAAACAGGACATCCTGAAAACAGAGAAGCTGGCCGGTGAGCTTTGGGTGTGACTGTCCACCTGTTTCCCTGGAGTAGTCAGGATCAACTATCCCAGCCCCCGGGAAAACCCCCACCTCCCCCTTTGACAGACAGTCATGGGGAAATAGCCTTGCGTCTGCAAAATGAAGACAAGAGACTCATGGCCAAATTCCAGGGGATCCCCCAGGCTCCTCTGAGCGCATCCATGTCTCTTGCTGAGATTAAATGGAAGATGCCAGCAGGACCAGTGATGGGCTCAGGCCCCCGAATGAAGGTGTCAGTTACCCTGCTGTCTTCAGGGACCTGACTAACCCTGGTGCTGGCGCAGACAAGCATCAGGACTGCAGAGAAACCGTCCTGTGCTGTGTCGCAGACCTGTGCTTTTCCTTCCCTACTATGTCCTACAGGTTTTAATTTACTAAATTAAACTCTTATTTTCCTTCTGTCTTTCCCCCATGATAATATAGGGTAGCAGTTCTCAAATAGTTTGGTCACAGGACCCCTTCACACTCTTGAAAATCACTGAGGACCCTAACGAGCTCTCGTTTATAAGTTATGCCAACATTTAGCATCGTAGAAATTAAAGCCAATAACTGTGAAAAATATTTACTTGTCCATTTTAAGACCTTACATCCATTACATATTAACTTTTTTTAAAAACCTATATTTTCCAAGGCAAAAAATGTATTTCGTCAGTAGGAGTGGCATCGTTTTGCATTTTTGCGGACCTTTAAAGCCCGGCTTAACAGAAGGCCGCTGCATTCAGTGTATTGCAGTATGGTATCCTGGCAGAAGAAAACCACGTGAGGTTGGGAAAAGAACCCCCAGGGGTTCTTGCACCACACTTCCGATGGCATGCTGTGTCGGCTGACTTTAGCCCGTACATTCTAAATAGACAGTGCCATGACCAAAGCAGAGGGAGAGACACCTACAGATGTCCTGGGTGAAGGGCTGGAAGAAGTATTAATGGTGGCGGAAGCAGCTGGGCATCGCCTCTGTTTTCTCCTACGGAAAGGATGAACCGCTGTCTTGCTATGAGGCATGGCTGTGTTGTGTCAGGTGGGAGCCTGATTTATGAGGTGTAAGGACGGGAGGAAAGGTGCGCATCAGATCTCCGAGGAAAGTGGCGTAGTGGACTTTTGTCATCTTTGGCATCAGAACACCCTTTCTTCTGGGAAAATCTTTTATTGAGTGAGTTTTGGCAGAGTCCCGCTCCTCCTGGAGACAAAGGAGCCAGACACTCTCTCCTCACACGTTCCAGGAGCTACAGAATGAACACACACCTGAGGTTTGCCTGATCGTATCCTCCCTAATGGTACTTAATCGTGAGCTCAGGGCAGACAGCTGAGGAAGTATTTGCAGCAGGGGTGAGTCTGGAGGCTCCCTTTTTGTGGGCGTCATGCTGTCAGTGGTGCTGGCGGTGGAAGCCGCAGCACGCCCAGCAAATGGTCCCTGTGCTGCAGCCCTGCCTGTTTCCAGCCACGCAGCTCCCCGGACCCCTGTGAGCTTGCTGGGCTTCATCCCATCTTTCCTGCCCGGCTGAGTGACCTTTACCCAACAGCTTTCTTCACTGAGTCGGGGCCCTGGCAGGACCAGGCGGGAGGCCTCCCTCACCATCTGCAGCTTCCACCTATATGGCTGGGCTCCCTGCACCCACGCTTGGCCTTTCCAAAGTGCCCTGCATAGCCCTCCGGAGAAGCTTTGGATTCCAGCACTTTCCCAAAACTGTCCTGCGTGGAAGACTTGGGCCACACCACTGTTAACTGAGGGGCTGGAATGCAGGGTCTTTCTCATCTCACCTCAAATCCCCAACAGAGCCCTTCTAATGGAAACAGCGTTTACCAGTTAGAGTATTTGTAAAGCACAGGGGAAACGCATCATGGGTGATCTGCCACGAATTTCGTGATTCCTTGAGAACCATCTCGTAACACTGAGGTCATGGAGTGACAGCCCCATGTGGACTGTGATTGTTCCCTGGCCGTGCACTGCCTCTCCCCACGGAGGTCGGGCTTGGCCATGTGCTGTGGCCAACCGAAAGTGAGCAGGGGCTATATTTGTGCCTGCAGGGTAGGGCTCAGCCTCTTGTGCTTCTGCCATGAGAAAGAACACGGCCCAGGAAAAGCTGCTACTTCGACCAGGGACCCAGAATACCGGAGCAGACCTGATCAGACCCGAGCCTGGAGCATAAACCAGAAGCCAACTTGTAGACTATGCGAGAATGGGAATCTGTGGATGTAGACCACCAAGTTCCGGGGTTGCTTTGCAGCAACAGCTGACTCTGACTGAGCCCGTCCCAGGAGGAAGAGTTCCAGGATTTGATACATGCTGAACACTGGATAGTCAGTGTTACATGGCAATTTGGTAAATTCCCAGGCACTGCTGAAGTTCTCTTGACCTCACAAATAACTTCCTACAACCTGTCGCTTCCGTTTTTACCTAATGGTCCTGACTGCGGATGCCCTACCTGATGAGAAAGCTTGTTTCCACACTTCAGATGCTGGCTCTCCAACACTAGACAGCTTGAGGGACAGGAGGTAGGATGGGCTGGCGGTTTGCGGGGGACCCCTCAGGTTGGGGAGTTGGCACCAGGTGCCAACAAGCTCCTGGCCTGAAACTGCAGCTAGGGGGGCCAGTGATCCCACTGCCACCCCCAAATCTGCCTCCCAACTCCTCCAGCACTGCCTGCCCATCCACGCCTACATCTTACTGAAATGAAAATCCATGTCTTGGAGAAATTCTTTAGGGGTGGAGGGGAGGCACTGGGCTCCTGAAAACACACATGTGCTTCAAGTTCTAGGTCACCCTGAGGCCAGCAGCATCTTTCCCTGCGTCTTGTGCAGGCTGCTCTGGGCTTTCCCTCTGCGGACGCAGCTCACACTTCTCACCATACAGGACACTTCCCTGTTTGCTCTCCACTACATCCCCACGGGATGCACCATGCTGGGCTCAGGGTAGGTCTTAAAGAAATATTGAGAAAATGAATGGATGAATCTTTATTTATAAAAAGTTACATCCACTGCTCTCAGGGCTGCCGGCTGGTGTAAACTGACAGTGTGAGAGAGACAGAGACACAGCGAGCTCTGTCCCAGCCGACTAAGCTGAGCCGTGGCTCCCTCGGGCATTGTGGCACTCAGCTTCCTAGCACAGGCTTTTGTTGAGAGAATGTGTACAGAGCATGTTATTTTAATGTTTTATATACGGCAAAAGTAGTGAATTTAGGATTATGTTTTTATATTTCTTCAAACCCAACAAGTTTGCCTCATGGCCAGGGAAAAGAGTGTGGAACGCAGTTTAGATCATTTTTAGTAATGACTAATAAGTGGACTCCATCCAGTCTTCTCCACAGTAATAACAGCAACACTCCTTTTCGTTTTAACCTCCTTTCCAAAGTATTTATTTGTTCTCAGTCAGACGAACATAACTCTTGCAGGATCCAGCTTCTGCTGAGTCCCTGGTGTGCTCCTAGCACCTAAAGAAACATGCACTTCTCTACAAAGAGAACTGGAACTGTTGTTTCCTTACTGCTGACAGATGAAAAAGTTTGGACCTTAAAATGATACCTGCTTCTGTTGGCACTTCTGGGTAAGGCCACTCTCTCCAGCCTTCCAATAACAAGTAATGCTTTACAGTACAGCCAACTAATAGTCTAAGATGCTTAGAAATGGACAAACCACTTGTTGCTTATTTCCACACAGTTACGACCTGTGTGGAAAAATTCAAGGCGCTAAGCAACCGTGTCACTTTATGGCCTGGTACCACACTGGAGCATGTCACAAGTTCCCAAGGGCAGTGGCTTCTTCCTCTACTAACAGGTACTACCAGAGACCTTTACACAGCACAGACCTCGGTTACTAACACCTAAATGTTAAGACCCACGGGATTTGCAGTCTCTATATTCGTGCCTAGTACTTTGGTAAAAGCCACACCAGGCACATGGTGTTTTATGCAGTCTTCAAGGACATCTGCGATAGACATGTATCTTCACATGTAAGCTTTAAAATATACTTTAACATAATACATTGTACTGCAGAGAACTAGAATTCAACATATTACACTGCTAAAATGTTCATATAAATACTACATATGCATGGATTCATTCCATTAGAAAAATTCACGTATCAGAATATCAAAGACCAGTATCAGCAAAGCCCAAGGAGAAAGTATTTTAACAGTAGGAACACTAAAAATAACGACTATAAGGTTTATAGACAAGTGGTGGGAAAGAGAATTCTTTACATTTGCTATTATGTCATAACAGGCACAATCTGAAATACAATTTAAGATTAGCAGTGTACAAAAATACTTTTTAAACAATATTTTTGATAGGTACAGTAGCACTTAAAAAAACAAAAACAAAAACAGCTGTGTAGTTATTCCTTTTGAGGACCTACTAAAACAATTCACCTTACTGCCCCCAGCTACATATGAAAGTGCAAACCTGGAAAGCAAGTTCTCTTACCCAGGTACGCAACACATACACCCACATACGGAAATAACTCCATCTACGATGCATACTGATGAGGCAGCGACCTCAAACGGCGTGAGACGACAGTGTGTGGAGCCTGCTTCCATTTCCAGGTTTGGGATGAATGAACAAGAGGCAAAGGCAAGGTGGAGTCTATGAGTGCTTGGGTCCTCTCTGGGAGTTTAATCTGGCATATCAATATTTAACTTGGGAGGTGGGGGAACGTATTTCCCAGGGCTCTGGGTTATTACTACCCTGGCCTTCTTTCCAAATATTGGAGCAATTTTCGGAGCTTCTGGAACGGATGTTTCCTCAGCATCTTCACTATCTTCGTGATGGAGATCATATGAAATGTTCCCATATTCTCTTAAAAATGGAAAAATTTCAAGCAGAAACTGACAGAAGTCTCTGCGAATGCCAAACCACCAATGATTGCCACCCTTTCGCCTAAATGTTGTGGCCATTAAAGTTAGTAAGGAAAGCCAAAGGGGGACAAATATGGAGATGAAGGAGAATGTATTGTGACCATCCAATCTGTGAACCAGCAGGACCTCAAAAGTGAGCAGGGGCACGACAATCGTTATCCAGCTGATGGCCATGGTCACGTGTGTTCTTCGCTGCTCGGCAACCACATCCAGGGACCGCAGGAACAGGAGGGACCAGACGATGTAATAGAGGACGACCAGGCAAAGGAACGACATGAGAATCCACAGAGGCACAAACACCACCAGCCACGGCCAGTGAATAATCCTGTCCAGCCTTAGGGCGATGAAGATGAACTGCAGGATGTTGACAGAGCACAGGATCTCCAGCTCCAGCGATCTATCATGTCGAAAGCCCCAGACGCAGGCAGCCACGGACACGGGGGACACGAAGAAGAGAGGCATGAAGACCAGCAGCCAGAAGTGGGTGCCCCTCTCCACCCTGTCGCAGACCAGGACTTCGAACATGAGCAGGAGCAGGTGGATGCCCACAGCGATCAGCATGGCTTTGAACTCCACGCAGGCCTCTCCCTCGGTGCGGTAGCGAGGGTTGCGGGCCCAAACGCCCGCGCCCACCGAGGCGCCCGCGATGACCAGAAGCTTCCACAGCCATATGGGGGTGAAGACGGCCCAGTAGCTCCACTGGATGATGCCGTCCAGGCGGAGGGGCAGCAGCACCGAGAAGAGCAGCAGGCAGGAGTAGATGAGGAACTTGCTGGGGTTGAAGTCCTGGAACAGGCCCCTGGGGTTCATGTCGGAGGCTGCCGCCCACTGGCCCAGGCCTGCTCCCCCGTGATGCTCGGCGCCCGCGTCTCCGCGGCTCCCCGGGCCGCCGCCTCCCGGGCCCGGCCCACGCCGGCTCCAGGCGGACCAATGCCGGGGCAACCAGGAGGAGGCTCGCAGCGGCGACGCGGGGAGGCCGGAACACGTGCGCGCGCGGTCACGTGGCCGGCCGGAAGCAAGCTTCGGTGTGGCCTGCGCGGGCCCGGGCGGCGCGGCGGCTACCGGCGGGGCGCTGCCTCGGTCCCGCTGCTGCCCGCTTTCATTCCGAACTCATTAGGCTGGCACCTACTGCGTGCGGCGCCCGGAAGGGACTGGCGCGCTGCGGACTCCCCAGGCGGCCCGCAACCTCGGACGGACGCTTCCAGGCGACTCCGGGAACATGGAGGCGGGAGTGAGCTCACATCCTCCCGGCAGGGCGGGGCGGGGCCCTACGAGGAGGGCGGGGCCGGGCGGAGAGGGCGGGGCCTGGCGCGGAGCACCCCACCCCACTTTGCGGGGATCCTCCCCTCCCCGCGCTAGCCGTGGCTCCCCGGGAACCCGCCTGGGGCTAGGGCGCCCGCGGTGAGGCTCCAGCGCCCCTGGGGCTATGGCGCCCGCGGTGAGGCTCCAGCGCCCCGCGGGCGGCGTGGAGAGCGGCGCGTGCGGGAGCAGAAGCTGGTGGCCGGGCGAGTGGGGGAGTTTGCGAGCCAGGGAGCGGGTGCCGGTAAATGCACGGATGCTGGCGCTGCAGACCTGTGCGGGCCGGCGCGGGGCGGCGGCGCGTGTGTCCCTGGCTCAAAGCAAAAGGCCCGCGCGTGGACTCAGTGCACCAGGGCCTTGCTTGGGATGAAGACTCGCGGGGCAGAACTCCGCCTGGCGGAGCAACGGACGTTTCTCGGGCTGCCTGCGAAGTGGCTGTGCAGAGCCCGGGCGGCAGCGGCGCTCCTGTACCTGTCCCTCTCACTCCAGAGTGGAGGGTGCTGGGGAGGGTGTTAGACCCCACTGGGCCCCTGGACGGCGTCCCGCGGAGCAGGGAGGAAACTGGATCCAGACCCGGGTTGGGGGTTGCTTCCTGCCCCAGGTCACCCGGCGGGATAGCAGAGAATCGCGTCGCAGATACAAGACTCCTACCTTTAAGTGTCTGGTCCTCATTTTGACTTATCTGGCCCTGTCTCCGTGTTATTCTTGCAGAACAATGTTGGGAAAAGGGTACTGGACGAGAGGTCAAGAAATCTGGGTTCTTGTCCAGTCTCTGCCACCCATCAGCTGAGAAACCTAGGCAAATTCACCTTTCTCTCTGGGCCTCAGTTTTCGGGTCTGTAAAGTTGGGAGACAGGCGTGGGTGATCTCTAAGAGCCAGCAAGGCTGTAGCGAGTCTGTGATTTGGAGCACCCGTTTCACCCTCTGGCCAGCTGGGCAGACCCTGGAGGATTTCTGTCTGTCTTCCCTGCTGTCCCGCTGCTCAGCAGAGCCCTGCCTGCCCTCCTTCCTGCCCTCACCAGTCTCTCCTAGTCCTGTTTCCTGATGTGGATGTGGAATGGTGTCACGCAGGTCCTGACAGGCCGTCAGAGGAATGCATCACCTGTCAGGTTCTTCACCGAGTGGCTGTCCCGCACCCCCGACATGAGCAGGCGGTTCAGGGTGTGAGGCGGACAGTCCCAGCCCTCAAGGCTCTTTCCACAGCTTCACTTCAGCCTCAGGCAGTCTGTGGCCCTGGGGAAGGGAGTCCAGCTGAGTGAGCTTCACCAGTCCTCGGGCTCAGCCCTGAAGGCTGACTTCATAGATGTGTCTTCAGAGCCTCTTGTTTCTGGAGAGCCTCTGCGAGCCCTGTGGGGAGAGCCTTAGCTAAGTGGGGCTCTAGCCTTATCTCCCTCAACTCCTCCCCTATCCAGAGTTGCTCCAATTTGTCTGTTTTCCATATTGGTCTTTTCTGTACTTTTTTCTTCCAAGAAGGATTTGTCAACTGCAAATTTGTAAAAGTGGAAAACCCCCTCACCAGTCCAACTACTTCATCTGTGAAATGGGCTAGGAAAAGCACGTAGGATTGTTTTGAGGATTAGATGAATTGATACATGGAACTTTGCACTTTGCATTTAGAGATGTGCAAGTGATTAATGTGACCACACTAGGAAAGTAGAGCCCATGGAGGGGAGGGGCCTGCCAGCAGTGCCCCCACCCCTTGGGGAGCTGGTGGCAGAGTCAGGTCCTCTGGACCCTGTGAGAACAGTCAGAGGTCCTTCCCAGTCTCCTGCCTAGCCCAATGAACTCAGGGCTTCTGCTGCCACCTTTGTGGCAAAGATGGAGCTGAGAGCGTATTTTCCCGCCTTGAGCTCCTTATTCAGGACAGGTGCATCCCTTCATCCAAGAAGAGGCTATGAAAGTGTCCTGTCATGGTTCAATGTTGCCTCTGCTGCCCAGCTCCTGAGGGAGGGTAGAGCCAGCTTCCAGGCTTGTGCCACAGAGTGAGGGATACTGTCTGCCCTCTGTCCCCAACTGGCTTCCTTTGTCCTGCAGGCCTTGGCCTCTCCCCCATCTTGTCCTGAGCATCAGACCCCCACACTTCACTGCTTTCTGTGATGTGGTCAGCCTCTCACGGACCTGCCTTTGTCTTTTATTTACCTGTAAAACTAACATGGATTGTTTGCTGTGTGCCAGGTGCTGGCGGCACAATACTCTCCGAGGCTGGTATACAAACCAAAGCGTAAATTCATTCACTTACAGACGGTGTGTGTGGGTGCGTCTGCATAACCAGCATACACTGCTTTTCCCCAGTCAGGATGTGCAGGGGCATGTGGCCCCAGAGGGTAGGGGCTGACATGGTTTGAAGGTCCCTGTCCTAAAGGATGGGGAAGTCCTGGGATGTGTCCCCTCCCCAGAGTCTCTTTCCTGCTTGGCATCCTCAGTCCCAACTTTCCTGTCTGAACTGTGAGGCCCTCCTGAGCTGCCTGGCACACCTGCTGGCCAAGACCCTTATGGTCCATGTGCCAGCCCAGCCAGTCTGCTGCTGCCCCCTGAGTGTGGGCATCCAACGTGGCCTCTCTCTCCTTCCTGGGCACCAAATCCCAGGACGGGGTTTCAAGCCCTGAGAAACCTTCTCGACCCCTGGTAGACCACTGACCCTTCTTTGACCTCCCACCACCTCTGGGTGCCAGAGGTGGGGTAGCACTGGGGGGCCTTTTCCTATCCTGGGACTCATTTCACTGGGTGTCGTTTGTTTGGCCTTCTGCCCTTTCATGAAATTTGAGCTCCAGACACCCAGCTAGCACTTATGTCTTAGCAAATGTTTGAGAAACGTTGGCTGAATGATTGAGTGAAGGAATGGGTTCAGCACTGCTCATGACTGTGATGCTCCTGTGGGCAGTGTGAAGCTGACGGCAGGACCAGTGTCCTTTCGTGGCCAGCATTCTAAGCCCTGTTCCCTCCACTCTGGAGCCCAGGTGACCTTTCTTCAGATAGCTCATTGGTGAGTCATTTCCAACTACTTTGTTAACCAGTTGCCACAGATACAGCAGTTTAAAGCAGCGCCCGGTTACTATCCCCCACGTCCTGAGAGTCAGAAGTCAGCATCACATGCCTAGCTGGTGCTCCGCCAGAGTCGCAGGGCCGAGGTCTGGGTGTGAACGCTCCCGCAGTGAACCTGCCTTCGAGTTCTGTGTTGGCAGGACTGCATCTGTCCATCGAGTTGTTGGCATCCTGTGAGGATGCCAAGCTGGGGAGAGACTCTGGGATGGGGACACATCCCAGGACTTCCCCATCCTTTACCCTCTGGGGCCACATGCCCTTGCATGCCCTGATTGGGGAAAAGCAGCCTATGCTGGTAGCCTGGACTGAGGTCCCTGTTCCTTGCCCACTGTGGGCCTCGGGGTTCATTCTCAGCCTCCCGTATTTCCCGACTCGTGGCTCCCTTTAAAGCCACTCGTAGTGGGTTGAGTCCTTATGACTGGAGTCTCTCTTCTGCCGTCCTTGTTTTAAGAGTTCCTGTGATTATTTTGAGTTACTCAGCTAACCTAGGATCACCTCTCTAGTTTAAGGTCAGCCTGTTAGTAACCATAATTCCATCTGAAAATTCCTTAGAATTCTGCATAGTATCAGCAGCCAGGCCCAGCTTGGCTCTTCCTGCCCCACAAAACGGCCACTGCTCAGCAAGAGCTGAGCTGGGTGTCCAGGGAGAGCAAGGCACCCTCCACAGCAGACCAGGGTGACAGTGACACCTGGGCACGCTCCCGGTCAGAGCAGTTGGAAGCTGGCGGGAGTCAGGTTTCCCCTGCAGCCCTCTTGCTGCAGGACATGGGTGCCTTTGCTGAATGCCCTCTGAGGGGCTGGCTTGGAGCAGGGGGATGAACTGCGCAGAAAGCCCAGGGAAGTGTTCCCTTTACAGGCAGATTTGTGGATTTGCTGACATCGGCTTCTTCACAAGGAAGCCACAGGCCACCTGGCCTTGTGTCAGCCTCATTGCCCACCATTATCCTTGGCCCCTGTCTCTCAATGAAGATCATGCTGTCACCTCTACAATAGCCTCCTCCTGTCTCCCTGCCTTCCCCACTGCCAGTGTGTGTGCATACACACACACACACACACACACACACACACACACACACACACACACTAGTGAGGTAGTGTACCTGTGGGCATGGACTCTGGAGTCACCCTGGCCCAGGTGCGAGTCCAGGCTCTGTGACCTTGACAGATAACAGCTTCCAGCCCCGATCTCTGAAATGGAGCTAACCTCCCAAAACTATCAAGGCGAAAGGAAACAATGTATGAAAACCTAGTGCCTCCTTTATTATTCCCCAAGGGTGACTGCTGTAAACTGCCTCTCAGCAGCAGATTGGGTGTCCCCTCCCTCGCGTATCATCCTGTTTGCTCATCTGGCCCTCTGGGCTCCCTGTGACTTTTTCAAGGACTGGGACCCAACTCTTATCTCTGTGTTAGCAGGTTCCAGCACGGGCCCGTACACAGTAAGCGAATCTGGAAAGTGCATGCGGGCAGGAAGGCAGGAGCTGATGTGGTATCTCCCGTGGGCTGAGCCGCAGAGCACTGGCACCCTCCTGAGACAAAGCAGCTTATGTGAAGCTCACAGGTCCCAGTGTTACAGGGAGGTGCTGCTGGGCTCGCACGAGGCCCTCCTGGAGCATGACAGCCCTTCAGGCTTGCACGCGGCTTAATATTTCAAAGCACTGTATCATCTGGAGCTCACTTCAGAGGCTGAGGTGGCACAGCACTAACCTTCTTTGACAGATGGGGAAACAGGCCCAAGACCACAACCGTGGTCCTCTAA